TTGATTTGACTTGTCCGTTTTATAATTATTATTATCCTTCACTAAACCTAACCAAAACGTACATCACCAAAGACCTTAAAAGGCGTTTTTTTATTGAATTTTTTTATTTGATTTACTCCAGTGACTAGCGGGTGCAAAAACATGACAGCAGCCCAACACATTTCCATTTGGAGAAACAGGCTGCCGTTTCAAAACAGTGCAAATAAAACACTAATGTGCCAAACACATGGAAATGAAGAAAGCTCTGCACAGTGTTTACTAAAAGCGTACCATAAACAAAACGCTGCGGAAACAGGAGACAATAAAAAGTGACGCACACAGCTGGGACCGGAGCGCTTGGTGACGTTCAGGATTATAAAGTCTCTGTTGTTGGAAAAGTACCTAAAATGTACGTGGTCACATGACTCCTTCTGATATTACTGCAGATCTAGTCAATTCAAATATACTGACAAAACACTAATGATTATAAAACCGAATAATTGACAGTTGGCCAACTTTATAATCCCTGAACAAGCCCTGCATGTTAGCTGTGCCTCGGTTTTTAGTGTCCCCCTGGTTTCAGTTGTGTTTTGCATGAATATTTGCACCGTAAACCTTGAAGGGATGCTCGTGGCGGTTGGTGGAGATGCCGTGAGCTCACCTGAGGGCATAAAGTTGCCTTTCCAGACAACATTACTACTATACTGTGAGAAACACAGAGTGGTTCCTGGCAATGATGGGCTCAGTCAGCGCTGGGTGTCTTTATGGTAAAAGCTTGAATGTAATGAGAGTTCATTTATATGTAAAAGTCCCTCACTTTACTTTAATAGACCCAGGTCTGTCTGCTTTAGCTTTGGGATGATCATCTCTGTGGTTTCGAGTTTAATTTCACTCTTAGGCTTCAGCTCACTGAGTATTGGAGCTCTGCAAACGACTGATTATGGAAACCTAATACTTCTTGCTGCTTCTTTACAATAAAAGCTTTTCTGGCTGTTGTTCCAGTGATAAGCTTTTATTGTGAATACTTTTTCGAAGAAATACAAAAACAGTTTAACTCTGTCGACCCAAAATGGATGCTAACACCCTCAATGTGTGATTTAAAGTCAGTCTGTCATTGGACAATTGTTTAGTGACTAAAGCTGTGTTCTCTGTCCCCCAAATGCTGGTGGCCTATAGGGAAACTTACAGATGATCAGATTCCACTCATCTGACGGAAAAATACTTTACCCGAAACTGTTGCGTGACACATTGTATTCAACGTTTGCAGTTAACCAAAGTAGAAAAAACACACGACCGCATCGCACTGAGTTTGGTCTGGAGAACTGACCGTTCATTGCATCTGCGCATGCTCACTAGCGTCACCACGTTTCTTTCACACTCAGGCACACTCTGATGATGTCATATACACATGAACTGAAACATGACTTTGTTAGTATACTGTACAAATATGCTATATCGAGATGATCCGATTCCACTCATCTGACAGAAAAAGACTTTACCGAAACGATATCTTCTCAAGCTATTTCTTTGGGTTTCTTGTGAAGTTATAATCGTCTGAATTGGGATCTTGTAAGGAGCGCAGATTATGTGTTTTTATGTAAGATCAGAAAGGAAGGAATTCTTGAGACAAATGTTTGCGTGGGCTATATGGAACTTTTGTTTTGGTGAACTTCTCAGTATTTAGACAGCTTTTTAGCCTTTTAATAGTGTTTTATTGTCTACTTTTTAATGCTGCTTTAATTCTATTTTGAGATGTTTAAATTCTATTATTGTTTGTTTCTACTATTTAATTCCTACTTATGTGCAATGCCTTGTTTTGTTGTTTTTTATGCTGCTGTAGCGCAAAAATGTCCCAATTTGGGATCAATACCCTAGACCTAGTAGACTAACGGCCCGTCTACACTACAGGCATCGAAAAATGCTTTCAACGCTTCGCCCATTCACTTGAATGGGGTGACGTAGAAGATTTTTAATCTTCGCCGAACTGCATTGTGGGGAACATGGCATGGCTTTGCAAGCATCACGAGCATCTATCGGCATCAAAAGNGGGGGCCGCCAGGGGGCGCCCGGGGGGTCACGCAAAGTTTGAGGGAAACGGGATTATTATTTTTTTAAAGTGTAATTATTATTTATTTTTTTAGATGTTATTAATAACTGTATATCTATCAATCTGTGTCCTTTGATGCCAATCTTTTAATTGTTTTTGTTTTTGAATCACACGACCGCCCTTCAAGCCAATCCAAATTTTGTTGAGGAAATATTATTTTGCAAAGCACTGGAAGGTAGGACCACATGAAGAGACATTTTCCAAGTGTTAGATTAGTACATCATCTCAAATGGACTTTAAAAAAAAAAAATTGCAACAGGGGGGTCCCTGCCAGAGGAAAATGCTATATGGGGGTCCTTGGCATGGCAAAGTTTGGGAACCCCTGGACTAGTAGACCTCTTATCTTATTTAGAAGTAGCTTTTAGATATTACTACGCTTATCAGCCAACACTGATTACCAAAACACCCAAACCAATAGCTTGTTGAGCAAATATCATTAGCATGAGAAACCATGGGGAAGGAGTAGCCTACTGAACTTTTAAAACTAACTCATAGCAAGACTTTGGAGACTTTTAACTTTGCAGAATAGTATTTGAAATTCAGGATAATCTTTTAATTATAATAAGAGTAGTTGGTGGTGTAATGTGTGCAGTACCAATGGTAGCTTCAGCTGTCGTCCCCTGTTGTGTGATGTCACTGGTTGATGAGAAAATACTTGATATACCAAAGAACAACGTATAGTATTACGAAATATTAATTAAAGTAACAGTATGTAACCGGTGTGATCCGCTTCACTCTCGTAGATATATGGATTTAATACACTGACCTTTCCCCAGCTTCAATGCATGTAAAAAAAAAGTAATTTATGAATTATAGATGCCTTTTTGTGTCACCTTTCAAAATCCTCCGAATCAAGAGAAAGTATTTTGGCACCGTCAGCAGACAGTTAGTGTTTCAACAGAACAGTATTAATGACGGACACACAGAAACAACCTTGAGCAGAATCACACGGTCCTGCCTGACTCACAGTGATTAGCTGTTGCTGTGGATTTCATCACCCACTCCCACTTCCCACTGTAAGAGGACAACCCCCCCCATACTTCGGAGGGTTACTAGTGTTATGGTTGTCATGCTGCAAAAAGCTCCAAGGCTTCAGACAAAAGGATCAAGCCTCGGGAAAAACGATGCAAGACTGAAACAGAAATCAGAGTTTGTTATCCCTTCATCTCACATGAAGAAGGGTGACCTTAACCTGACCTTGATCCCACGATGAAAGGACCATGGCCTGCAAGAATTAACTCAACATGGCAAGTAGTAAGAAAAACTAGGGCATAAACAGGATAAACATCAAGGAGAAGTGTACGACTGTGTAAACACGGAGAAGGAAATGTTTAAAAGGTGCTATTGTAGTGACTGAATCTTTGAAAGGCAAACATGTTTTGAGTACTGAGGCCTGTTCTACGAATCCAGTTCAACAGACCCTGGATATCTTTGAGTTACCTGGCTTAACCAACCCTAACAAACGCGCTCTCGCTAAGCGGTCTTACGATGCTGGTTATCAACTCGGTAACTCAAGCCAGGGTTTCTCTGTCCGGCTGAGTGCACGTTCACATGAAAGGGGCGGGGTTAGCAGCATTTGACCAATCACAAACATGGAGAAGTGTACTGACAGCGCAGCGTCATACTTTCTGAATGAAAAGTGAACTATAATATTAGACATATGAAGACGTTAAACTTTAAACATCCATGAATTAAACACTTTATCCAGGATCAAAGCCACATAGCTGCACCTGCAAGGTGAATACAGCTGGTAAAAGAAAAAGTGTTTGAATGCTTTATGATATCACTGTCCCCTCTAAGACACGATCTGACTTTAATTACATTTGACTCGAGTGTTTCGTCAACTTAATGTGTTGCTAAAAATAATACTTCTGCATACAGTATGTGACGCTGAGTGTTGCACGGCCAGATACGGCTCAGCTGACTCAGATAAGGAGGTATACGATACATTATGATGTGATATGCTGCGGACTGTACTTAAAGGTGGGGTAGGTAAGTTTCAGAAACCGGCTCGAGATATACTTCTTGTTATATTCCATGGAATGCTCTTAACATCCCGATAGCAATGAATATCTGAAGTGCTTTGACAAAAAATCCATAAAAAAATGTCATCTGTGGAAGCCGTAATACTGTAAAAACTACAACCAATCGGATTGGATTGCCGCCCTGTCTGTCAGCCTTCCATCTCGTGCACGCACAAATGTATCTCGTGCCCTCATTGGGCGTGCATTGCAGCAGTACTTCAATGACTCGCCAGCAACAGGCGGCCACTTTCACCATGGCAGAGTTAGGTTCAACATCGTCTACTGGTCGCAAAAGAAAAAATGTAACGGAGCAAATTAAGAAGAAAAAGAAAGTGGAAACTAGGAGAAGTCAAACCAGAGTCAATATCGGAGTTGCTTTGGCTGTGTAGTATTGCTAACCTAGAGGTGTTTAGCTTTGCCTGATATGTAACGTTACTGCAGCCTGCTCTCGCGGAGGAGGTGCTCTGTAAGGAAGTCTGAAGGAAGGGGCGGATTCTTTTTGGCTGTGTACTTTCAAATTTTAGTGCACTCGAGCCGATTTCTGAAACTTACCTACCCCACCTTTAAGATATCCATTGCTATCGGGATGTTAAGAGCATTCCATGGAATATAACAAAAAGTGTATCTCGAGCCGATTTCCTCAAACGTACCTACCCCACCTTTAACACATACAGTGGTTGTGTACATTTTTGTATCAAAACTATTGCTAGGGACAATCGTGTTGTCGCTGGAAAATGTACAAAAAAGTGTACAAATTCTAGAACATTTCCCAGAGAGGAAAGCACATACTTGTTTTATTTACTTCACTCATCTTCACATTCCACTACTGTGACCGCTCTCTCTGACTCCCACTGGCTTTCTCTTGCAGAACAAACAAACTGGTCCCAGCCCAACAACAACTCGACAGAGCTGGACTCAAAATATCTCTCTGGCATGTTCCCTGAATAAAAATGTAAAAAAAAAACGAGGGACTGGACCACCCGGGAGCTTCACAAAGAAAACACCCCTGACCCTCGCAGCTCATATCTGCCCGCTGCATAATCCCATGAACAGTGGAGGCAGGATGTTCAGTGCCACCTCCTATTGGGCTGTCTCAATGGAGAAGATTTTAGTGTGTGTTGTGTAAGGATAAATATCTCCAACCTGAGTTTGTCGGCGGTGAAGATGACCCTCCGCTCCAGCAGCAGGGAGCCCAGCACCCGGAGGAGCAGGCGCAGACTCAGACAGGAGAACAGACACTCGAAGTCCACATGCTCCAAGCGCGAGTCAGAGGGCCGGCACAGCTCCATCACCTGGGAACACGATGGACACAGAAACTAAGTTATAGAGAGCATCATATATACAGTCTTTATTACATTTTTCTCATTAGCCTTTAACTAGTTTTTGAGGTTCTTATCTCTGGAAGTCGATTTGAAAAAAGACCTTTGTCACATTGAATTATCAGGACTTCTCTCTATTGAAAAGGTTATTCAATATAATTTGTTAAAGGGGCCTTATTATGCTTTTTGGGGGTTTCCTTTTGCAGTAGTGTGTTTGTATGGGTTTTTGTTATGTAAACGGTCTGCAAAGGCTAAAATCACAATCCCACATTTTGAAAAAGACAACAAAGTGATTATTCTGGGGCTTCGAAGAATAGGGGTTTACAGAAAGCTACAGTAAGTGGCTTAAATCTTTACTTTGTGCATATGAGGGTGAAATAATAACAACAAAAAACTAGTTAAATATAACAAAGAACTATAGCTAAATTGCACAACTTCTTCCACTTTTTTTTACGGACAATCCAACATATTTTAAGGGAAAAGTTTAACAGGATCTTCTTTTCAATATCTCTTTGTCACTCGCCTCAGTGCCGGAGCCGGGGAGGAAAGTCTTAATGGTGATGGTTCGGCCTGGAGCTGGAAACTGAGCCTCCATGATGGCTCTCATGAAAGGCTGCACAAGAGCGGGAGACAAAGCCCTACGCCTCTCCACCTCATCTAGCACCTACAGTGTACACACACACACACACACACACACACACACACACACACACACACACACACACACACACACACACACACACACACACACACACACACACACACACACACACACACACACACACACACACACACTTTGTAAGTACCTCATTACTCATAAGCCAATAATATTATCATTGGAGGCCAGCGGGTGTTGTTTACCTTTGAGAACAGGTTAAAACAGCCAAGATGGCTGACGATACAGTAGACTTCTGGTAGACGTTTACCTTTTCCACTGGGCTGAAAAAAAAAAGGGTGGAAGTTTACTTAAGGAAATCAGTTTAACTGCCATGTGTTTGTGGACTAATAACTGCGTTTTTCTAAGTCGAAAACTTTTGCAAAACTCAAGCAATGCAGTGTTTCCACATAACAGAGGCCATGTTAAAGTTGAAAAAGTTCAAACATATTTATTTTGTAACATTAATAGCACTGAAACACACACACACACACACACACACACACACACACACACACACACACACACACACACACACACACACTTCCTCCCAGACTCTCAGATGGACTATTTTCCCACAGGCACGCAGACTATTTTGGCACGGTTATTTACTTAGCCGTCATCGTGGTATTTAGCCACTTCCTGTTCAGTAGCAATGCACTTATTTATTCTACTCATTTGTATTTACCAGTAAACGGCGGCAGTATCCGAACCTCCTGCTCCCATCCTCTCCCGTCAAAACAAAGGAGAACATCTCACTATCAAGGTTGACCCAAAACAAATACACAAATAAAACTGTGATCAGCATATTTTTGATTGCATATGAAAAATGTAATTATTTAAGAACAAACTTTATAATTTTTGAGCAAAATGGGGTCAAACTTGAGACAGTCAATTCCAGCAGTCAAGTCATTTAGTGATGATACAATGCGGTCTTATTTTAACCTTAATATTATCTTTCTCAAATATGGAATATCATAAAAGTAGCTTTAAGACCATGTTTACTCTCTCACCTTGGAAAGTTCTCCACCGGCTCCCAGTCTTTTGCATCAGGGAAACAGAATTGAGGGATGATCCTCAGCTGATCCTCCGTCTCCCTCATGAACTTGAAGCTCCGCTCCAGCTGAAACAAACCAGAGCAGCGGTGTCTTTAATGCTTTATATTTCCATAAACTAATCAACGCCTAATTTGGGGTTATACATTATTATAGGTTTAGATATATAGCGTAGCACCGGCTAGCGGGTACTTTTTCCCTCTTTTTCCGGCCCCATAAAAACCGTG